ACTAAAATTTTTTTTTAACTCTCAAACACCAAAACAGCGATATGCAAAACCAATAAACCACACTGCCCGTGCTAATTTCCAACACCAAATTATGTTGACATAACGGTTTTAAATTTAATTGTATTTGTTGTTTATTTTTTACGGATTTATTAATTAATTTTTGTGTATTGTTTTAATTTTTACATTTTTTTATCACTTAAAATTAATTAATTTAATTTAATAATTAAAACTTAACTTAGGTTTTGTATAAGTTTATATATAAACGCGTTTAACCACACACAACTTGCCATTTTTTTCAATGTGAAAGGTAAAAAGAGGGCAAAAACTTGAAAACAAACTGTACGCAATAGCAAATTATTTTGAAGAAAAAACCGAATGCACACAATTAAAAATATTACACAGAATGCAGCATTTTTTATGTTGCTTATATTAGCTTAACATTTGTTATTGTTAGTTTTTACAAATTTTAATTTAATTGTTTATTTATTTTACATATGAGTTTTACATTACTTATTTTTTATTTAATATGTAGTATTTTTTCTTAATTTTTAATTTTTTTTATCTCAAATTTGCAACATTTTCTCCAAAATTTCAAAATATCTAAAGACGAAAGAAAGTGGAAAATCTAAAATATGAGTAGTTAAATAAACATGAATAAATTTATAGTGTGTTAAAAATATAATAAATTTAATAACTGTAAGTTATAGTGAAATTGCGAACAAAAATTATAACAAGAACTCTCAAAATATTTTGTCAAAAGAAAATATTGTTATTGCACAGCGAGAGGGCACTTTTTCGAATGAAATATATATATTTTTTTATTTCTAAGCAGAACAATAACAACGTGCTGTATTTTAATTTGAAACTCAAAGACTATTTTCGAACTATAGCGAAAATTACAATCAAAATGCCGACTAACTTCTATATAATTTGCAAAGAAATAAATTTATGTCTACAACAACACTTGAAGTGCGCTTGGAAATTACGCATTTTTTTAGAATTTTAAATTTCAAACAATTTGCATAAAAATAAATTAACGAAATTCATCGAGAACTTTACTATAGTAGAAGAAAATAAAGACACAATGAAAAACAAAAAAATTAAAACTGAAGTAAGTAAAAACATAATAAACCACATTTCGTGGGCAAGTTGAAAATTATGAAATGCTAAATGAGAACGATTTCGAAAATTACATTTAAAAAGTGTGTTCATTACGTTTAAGGTTATCTAATATAGAGTAGTGCAAATTGCAGTGAAGGCAAATTTTTTGTTTCAAGACTTAATTAATAGTATATTATATAAATTTAGCAAAATATAAAATTATATTTAGCATTTATGTGTTTATGTTATGTATACTTATCGTAGCAAAGGTAAACATCAATCAAATATATATTTATATATAAACTTATATAACTAAAAACTAGCAATTAATAATTAAAGAGACGCTTCTGTATACATGCATAAGTGTCACTTTCGAATTATTCTTATATGATTATGCATTTAAATGTAAGTATGTATGTATGTTTTGTATGTGCAACTAGAACGGTCGGCGTCATCAATAACAGCAGTAGCTTCAGCGACGTTTGTGACGCGCTTTACGCCAGACGCCAACCGTCATTGCACCTTCTCACATTATCGGATCGGGTCCTTGACCTTCCAGATCGGACACTTGACTTTGATAATGCAGCGCATCTTGGTATGCTTTTTTCACCGCCTTGCGTTCAGTGGGCTTGCGTGATTCCACCAATTTCTGCTGATCCAGTCGCTTATCGATGCCCAGTATTTCGAGTTTATTCGCCGGTAACCATTGCCACGTACGTTTCACATCGAAGAAGAGCACTAGAAAGACCACATCTTCGGTGTAGTTTTTGCGTAACGCCAGCACATCGGGTGGTGGCGCCGGCAATGGTACACCGTTGTAGACGAAACCTTTCGGCGTTTTGGGATCGAGTATTAACGCCGGATACCAGGGATAACCGCGACATTTAGCCCACACTAACTGCAACGGTTCGAGTGGTGGTTTCAGCATTGTTGTTGTTGCTGCCGTCGCCGCCAACGCCTCGTCRGCATCAGCATCACCCGCCTCATTAGCTAAATCGGCATTAGCTGATGTGGGTCGAGACGATGTTGATGGCGTTGGTGTTGCCGCTGCCGCACCGCGTGTATTGTGCGTATTGTTGTATATCAACTTGTTGTTAAGACTCGCTTTTCGACCTCTAACATTATTCGCAATTGGTGTAGAGGTAGCGCTTATGTTGGCGGTGGGTGTGGCTGATCTTGTCAGTATTTGTTTGTTGTTAGAGCGCGTTGTCGTCGTCGGTGCAGTTGCCGTTGTCGTTGTCTTCGTCTTGGCAGTGTTGGTCGTTGTCTGCACTGCATTGGTGATTGTATTTTTTGTATTGGCATTCACTTCAACTACCGTATTGTTTTTCTGCTTCGTGCGTGTAGCATTGCGCGGACGTTTCTCTGAKGGGGTTGGCGTTCGTGTTGCCACACTTTTTGTGTCKGTTTCAACTTTGTCACTAGCTACGCAGTCATTACTCTCCTCGGCGCCATCGTCACTATCGGCACTAGCGCTTACCGCTTCACCGTTACCACCAGCGACATCGGCTTTGCCGTCAATATCACCCTCACAAGTACTAGCGATTTCATTCAGTTCAACATCGCCGTCCCGGCCATCAACCTCTTCATCGTCTTCGCTCTCCTCATCACCGTCAGCATCACCTTCGCCTTCATCCTCACCGTCATCATCTTCGTCSTCATCATCGTCACTGCTATCATACTCTGAGCCAGACCCGCTGACACTGAAACCAGAACAACTACTGCACGGACTTCCCGACATATCACTCAAATCATCGTCATCACTATCGCTTACGTCGCGTTCATTATTCGCGCGATAAACACGAAAGCTGTCTGGTATCCGATCGTAATTCGGTGTGGACGTTAACACCCCTACGGTAGCTGGCACATTTACAGTTGACGGTGTATTTGGTGTAATCGTGGYGTTTGGTGATTTCTTTGGCGACATCGATGCGCTCTGTCGCATCTCTGACAATCGCTTATGCCGCGCATTTCGTTTGGGCGATTTTCCAGCAACTGTACCACCCAGTACTGCACCCGCAGARAKACCTAAACTAGCACCGAGTGGCGCTAAGTGACTTCCACTTAATTTGTTACTTATTGTCATTGCTGAGGAGGCGAGTGCAGCTGCTGCTGCCGCTGCCGCAGCACTCGCTCCGCTGGTTGTRGTATTATTGTTATTCTGAGTGGCAGACGCGGTTAATGCCGTCGTTTCATCCTTAACGGGTGTTGTGATTTCAGAAGGTCGCTTAAGAGCTGCTTGTGCTTTGCGTGTAAATAAAACCGCAGTTCTGGAAGATTCCGAGCACCAATGCATAAATAAAGATATGTAAAAAGAGAAATAGAGAGAGAGATGGTTAATTGACACGCGCAAGATCATTAGAGCCACAAATAACTTAATCTAGTGGGGACAAATGATTATAGTTAGAATGGGAGATATATTTTCTTTGCCTCTGGATATAGGAAACTTTGCTATAACTTTTTATTAACATTACATACCTTCGATTCACGCCCACTGGTGAGGCGCTATTGTTTAGACTCTTGATGGGACTGCATGGCGGTGTTTGTACTGTTGTTGTTGCAGTTTCTTTAGACTCCTCACCCATTGTATCATCATCATCGACTACCATCATATTGGCGGGAACTTTGCGTGAACGTTTTGACAAGCTATTTTGCACTTGTTGTTGCTGCAGCTGCAGACCGGATGGATGTTTCAAATTTTTCTCTGCTTGAAGTGTAACATCGTTGCTGTGTTCATCTACATCATCATCATCGTCATCGTCGCTTTGCGAGTGAACACTCACGTTTGAATGCCGCTGCGTTGTTGAGATATAATTAAATAAATATATATTTATTTTAGTGTAGTTTAAATTATCACTTACAGCAGCCATTTTCGCCTTTTGCATAGCTTTACGCATGCGTGTTATTTCCAAGCGTATTTGCTTGATTTTCTTGGTACGATACATGGGATTCTTGAGAACCTGTGACTTATCTGCAAGTATGAGCAACTTTTGTACGATTTCCTCGCATGGCTTCGCCTCTAGTAATGTTTTCAATTCCAYTTCCACCTCGTGTTCCACATGATCTTCATGATCGGAACGTGTATGGTCCAATAATCCCTCACGTTGTAATTCCTTACGCACTTGCTGGAACAGTGGTGCCGCCTGGTCCCGCATGCGTATACCAGCGCGATAAAATACCGTATCCTTATTATTGTAAGCCAGACAATTTTGTATCATTAAGTCGAAATCGATTTCCAACTGTTCTAGCGTCGCATATTGACCCTGTTTTAATTTTGTACGCATTGTACCCAAATCCATTGGATGCTTCACAATATCCAAGTAGTCAGGCACTTCTTCGGTATCGACCGGTTCACGGAATATTTCACTGGTGTCTTTAGCTTCAAGTGTATCCAGAAGTTTTGTTAATGCCGATTCAAGTGGATTCACCTGCAGCATGACCACTTGCTCACAAATTTTCACAAAGGCAGCCTTCAGTTTTTCACGCTTCCGCACCAATTCACAAAGCAATCGAGCACGTTCCAAATCCTGACGCAGACACTGCCAATATTTCAACTGTTTGTACAGTTCCTTCGTGTCCGGCGAACCTATTGATTATTACAATGTATTAGTATATTATTTCCAATATATATTGTACGC